TGAGAGGCCGATCGTACTTCATAAGACGGTGATCCTCCCCCTGTAAAAGCGTGGGCTGACCTGACTGTGATCACGAACGTGAGAGGGCTTACAGGTGCCTCTGAACCCATGATACGATGGTGCTGAGGGGCCGATCGTACTGCATAAGACGGTGATCCTCCCCCTGTAAGGGCATGGTCAGACCTGATCGTGACCTGGATACGATAGCGCTGAGGGGCCGATCGTATAGCAAAAGATGGTGATCCTCCCCCTGTTAAGGCATGGATAACATTTCCCAACAATAAGTTTATTGTAGGAGACATTCTACTCTGTTAGTAAGTGTAAGAGCAGAATTTATTCGCGGATGTTGAATTTACATGCAGAATTAAAAAGACATGCCGGTGGGCAAACCCCCAGCTTGGATGATCATTTCATAGGACTTAAGTCTTGGGGCAATCCTAAGGTCTTAAGTTCGAATCCTGTAATGGGAGTGATTATTGTGACCTCCCCAAGCTGTGAGCCGATCAGCTATGGGCAACCTAGGCTGGTTTACCTCCTTGTGGTCCTTTGCCGGCTAGGGTCACAAGGCTCCGGATTAGTCTCGAGTAACCGAGGATACCGGATGTCAATAAAAAAACATGTCATATACGAAGTATATACTTCATATATAAATGAAAAATGAAGTGTTTGAATCCCCCAATCATATCAAAGGTTGCATATAATACGATCATCTATTAAATGTTGATATATTGATTCTTGCTGACTTGTTCAAATAATTAAAAGGTAAGGAAGGGGCCGAGATCTATTGATCTGACCAATTAGTTTCTTTCTCTATCAGATGTGGATCAACATTAAAATTGACACCATTATAACTCTACTAAAGGTGTTTTCTTTTGGACTGTTTTCAGTCCCAGACCAGACCAGACCAGGTCAGACCAGATCAAACAAAGTCAAACCAGATCAGACCAGACTAAACTTTCATAGTTATAAAATACACAGAGACCAAATATTACCAGATCAGACTAGACCAGAGCTGACCAACCCAGACCAACAAATTTCAGTCCAAATGAAAACATTCTAAACCCTTAAGCCATGCTCAAATCATAATGCCAAAGCTAAGAATATCAAAATATCTTGTAGTTAGTAAAAGAAGCAAATTATCTATTTAGAATTTAGCTCCTCTCCGGTAACTGGAATTCTCCATTAGGAGAGAGATAGAGTGAGATGTGGAAGTGGTGGGGTATGGAGAAAGAAAAGATGGGGTTTAATTATTTTTTTAAGGAGATAGATAGAGTGAAAAAAATGGAGAGAGTAAATGGAGAGAATGAAATGGAGAGGAGTATGACTCATCTATTTAAACTTAAATGCGTAGTATTTATTAAAAAAAGTAGTAGAGATTGTGTTAAAAATGTACAAACTCTTTGGATAGTTATTTGAGTACAAATACTCACACACACATTTATATAGAGGGGCGGATCGGAGCCCGGAGATTGAACCAGAACCGATACAAAAATTATTTTTTTACATTAGGTAAGGGCCTAGGTTGACTCTCTCCTAGTAGATCTGCCCATGTTTATATATTTGTTTATGCCTAACTAAAAATTAATAATGAATTTTGAAATTAAAAAAATGCTTTAGACCTAATAATAAGTCATACAAGAACGGGGCGTGAATTCAATTAGAGCCAAAAACATTAAGCTTGTTTAAGTTCTCGAACTCGAACCATTACATTAATTTCAAACTTAAGCCTGAGCAGTACACCCTGATTTACATATCTATCTCTACAATCTTATAAGAGTGAATGAGAGTAAGGGTTGTTTGGGTATATGAAATGTGTTGGTGGTACAGTACAGCTAGATTCAATTGTACATTCATTTTAAAACATTGTACCCCTAAAATTATATTCTAACTTTTCTAATTTTCTTCCGTTAGTCTTCACCTCTTTAAACTTCCGTTAACTTTTCATTTCTCTTTTGTTGCTAACAACTTCAATTGGGTTCTAACAGAGCTAATTTTACCCAATTGAATTGTTTGCTTTAATTTCTTATTATTACACCTTTTCCCTTTTTCTTGTTATTCACCCTTCCTCCAATCAGCCGCTGGTTATAGATCCTCGGAATTATGGAATTTCGACCATCCGTGGAAATCAGCTTATAATATGACCTGTCAGCTTGTAGAACAGAAGTCTTGACCTTCGAAGTCCTTGGCTTGTTTATCCGGAGTATTTAACTGTATTTTTATCTACATTCATTTTATAAAATTCCACCAAATTATATACTACATATGTCCCAAATTAATTTGCAAAATTGACTTTTTTTTATCGAACAGTTTCATTTCATTCACTTAATTTGGATGCTAATTTTTAATTATATTCTAATTTTGGAGTTAGCAACTTTGAAGATATTTTAATGTAGTTCCCAAATATGTAAATTTTAATTATTAAAAATTCAGTTAATTAGCAATAGAGAGGATTTAACTTTAACAGTTATTGACCAAAAACTGTTGACTTTGCAAATCAATTTGGAACAGATGTTTACAACAATTCTCTTACAGTAAAAAATGTGAAACCAGACATGCTATTTGAAATAATGTAGGGATTCATATGTTTTGTATGTTTGTTAGTCAATTAGAATTATGTGGAGACAAACTTTTTCTCACAGCCCAGTAAATAGTCTTATATGGTTACTGAGCAAGTCCGTTAGAATGCAAGCTTGAAAATTTAGGATTTAATTAATAAAGCAGCAAAACTAAGGCATAGATAACTTTCCCTCAGTTTTGTTATCAATTCATTGCCAAAATTAACATTTAACTGCACCAATTTAACTACACCTACTAGAATAGTAATATCACTGATGATACTAATAATAATATTACAAATAACAACAATAATAATTTTTTAAAATATTTGGTCTGATTTAAATGTTTTTGATCTAGTCTGAATATTATTACCACCTCCGTGTCACTAACACTAGGACATGATGATGCGGTACGGTTATTAAGAAAATGAGTTTATGTGATTGATGTTGAATTAATAAAGTAAGAATAAATAATAATGATTTAGAATCACAAAACTTTACCAAGTTTGATACAGGGTGTGATACAATCTTAATAAAATGGATCGAAGTGGAAAGATGAGCCAATCACTAACATTTTTTCAGTAAATTTGAGTGGGCTCATAGCTGACTTAGGCCCTCGTGCCTACGCCCCTGCTTCATGGATCTCACTCTAACCATGGACGGCATCTGGACATTTTAAACGGAAGTATGATTACAACTTTCTGAATTACTGGTTGATCAGTAGTTAGTGATGATTACCCACCCTCATGACCCATGATTTTGGAACCGGACTTGGGGTACACACTTGTGTATACACTCTTACACACTCGTGTCTGTGTAGGCATTTTTTTTGTTTGTCCCAGACAATGTATTTGACAAATACGTTTTGTCTGGGACAGAAAAAAAATGTCTACACAGACACGAGTGTGTAAGAGTGTGTACACAAAGTGTGTACCTTTAGATTTTTTCATCATTTTGTACAAATCATGATTTAAATAATTTGTGTGCTTTCAATCATTTTCAAACATTACTTCTCTTCATTTTGTGCTTTCAATCATGAACTGATTACATTGCAACCTAATATATGCAATTCCTTTCATTAATTATTAGTGTTTAAGCGGCTAGCATTACTTCTTCTTTTTTTGAAAATAGCTAGCATTACTTCTATGCACAAGTTTATAATTAAGAAACAAATTCACATATTAGCATTATAGATAACAATGAAAAAATGTATACTTGATCAGTGTTTTCAATTTTATCTATATATTTCTTTTATAACGTTGTTTAGAGATATTATTTTCGATGGTGTAGTGTCATCTGCCAAATTTATATTCACCGTCATCTTCGGTCGGGCGTTCATGTGTGCTAATAAGAGGTTTGCATTGATATCTTCATCAATCGAGAATATGATTTTCATCTGTGATGATATTGTAACGAATCACCCCCTCCTGAACCACCGTTGTTCCAAGAAGTTGAGATCACATGGATTGGTTTCTTTCCGGTGGCTGACAGAAGCGGAATAAATTTTACACTTGGCTCCTTGCCGGTGGCTGAACAAATCGGAATGTTTATACGAAGTAGTTTGTTTGAGAATTATATATTGTGATCGTAGCATGAGCCGTCGACCTGAATGTAGAGTCTATTTCTTTACGAGATTAGCGATTCAGCTTTTTCAATTTGAATCGTCTGTTTATATGTCTCATCTCATTGTAGCTTTGAGTTATATGATTGCAGTTGTTATTGGGCATTTTCCCGATCGCGCAACGCGCGTCACGTAACTAGTCTGTTAATAAGAATGTATTTTACTACTGAATAATTCATGTCAATTGCAACATGGACATCACATTCATCATTGATGTGATGAATATCTTATGTTAATTACTAGTGTCATCAAATATTATTTGGTGTTGGATACTTGGGGTGAACGACACACTCGGTGTATAAAGTACCATTACTATATTCCAGTTTTTAATCTTTTAATTTATATATCAAAAACGTTTATCGAATTGATTTTTCTTTTATAAAACAACATGGAATCTGAGAGATTTTAATAGAGTTTAGATTTCCGTCAGAATTAAGGTGTCCCCAATTTGGATTTATGTGGAATCTATGAAAATCTGAGTGCCCTCAAATATTCTGTGAATTTCTATTATTACTTATTTAGATGGACTTTAATAGATTTTGATGCATTTCTTTATACAAAAACATTCCACCAAAATCTTGTGGATTCCCATCGGATTTAAAATTCATCAAAATCATAATTAGGACACCCCTGATTTTTAAATATGTAAATTTCATTTACTAAAAATAATTTATTAATAATATGAATTACTTAACTACAAAAATTAAATTATAAACTTATGAAATGTATTTAAATAATTGGGACTAAAGATAAAGTATCTTGTCGAGATGAATAAACCGAACAACATGTATGTGTTCTCATCAAACTCATCCATTAAACATTGTCCCGATTATATGACAGCTAAGATGCGAGCTATTTATTCCAAATTTTTAATACTCCCTCCGTTCCTAAATAAACTTCCAACTTTCCTTTTTCGTCCGTTCCAATTAAAACTTCCATTTTTCCTTTTTGGTAAAGAATTTGTGGTTCACAACATTTCTTACACATTTCTCTCTCCTCTGCATAACTCTCCACCACACAATATCCACTATCTTAAACTTTGTGCCAAACCCATTTGGAAGTTAAAATGGGAACGGAGGTAGTACAAAACAGACGAGTCATTTAAACTTTACAATCCTTGAAATTTGGCCTAAAAATGTTGAAAACTCAAAAAGTTGAAAAGAAAATGAATTGTTCTTATTTTACTCTACAATAAAATGATTGAAACTTTTTTCCAAATTTAAACTTGAAACGTGTCAAAGTTCAATTTTCCTCATTTGGATCCACTGGGCCTTTGGTATCTTCATCATCGTACACGTAAGCAAACCCTCCGTGCCGGGTCAAATCCATACCCGACATTTCATCCTCCTCCGAGATCCGCAACAGATTCAGTTTATGTAGAACGTAGAAAAGAGGACCCATTGTGACACTTACCCATCCAAAGATAACCAAAATCTGAATCACATGGGCCGCAAGAAGCTTCCCGCCACCACCCATAAACAACCCATAAGGCCGGCCCGGCCTGTAAACCTCATTAACGTACTTTTCCTTCGCGAATAACGCCGTGAATATAATTCCCCAAGCCCCACAGCCGCCGTGCAGCTGCGCCGCCTCTAACGGGTCGTCGTATTTGAGTTTCTCCGCCAGCTTATTAAACCCAATCAACACCAACGCCGCCACAAACCCGCAAATGATCGCCGCCCATGGGTCCACGACGGAGCAACCGCCGGTGATTGCCGCGAACCCGCCCAAGAGCCCGTTGCACACGTCGGTGACGTTCCAATGCCCAGACAAAATTCTTTTCACGAACAAGGTTGTGAGGGCGGCGGTGCAGCCTGCCAAAGTAGTGGTGACGGCGGTGCGGCCTACGGCACTCCACTGGCCATAGAAGCCACCACCAGGATACGCGACCAGTATTTTGGTAAATGACCCGGGATTGAACCCGTACCACCCGAACCACAACAAGAACGTGCCCAGAACCACTAACGACGCGCTATGACCACGCAGAGCAACGGATCGGCCCGAGCTATCGAATCTGCCGATTCTCGGGCCTTCGATTATTGCACCGTATAATCCGGCTACTCCACCGACCATGTGAACGACTCCAGAACCGGCAAAATCAATGACTCCGGATCCGAAAAGGAGATCTGAATTATTGGTCGGGCTGGCCCACCCGTCTACGGACCAGAACCAATGGGAAACGACCGGGTAAACAAAGCCGGTGAGAAAAGCAGAGTATATCAGATACGCCACAAACTGGGTCCGCTCGGCTATGGAGCCGCTGGTTATGCCGGCGGCGGCTATGGCGAAAGCCCATTGGTAGAGAAAATTAGCGTAATCCATCCCTGCGTCGGCGTCGGGGATACCCTTCAAGCCGAAGAAGTTATTTCCGATGAAGCCGTTGGATTTCTCGCCGGTTCCGAAGGCAAAGGCGAACCCGAAAAGGTAGTAGAAGAGCCCGCCGGCGGCGGCGTCGAGGACGTTGGTGAGCATGATATTCTTGGTGTTCTTGGCGCGGACTGAGCCGGCGCAGAGCATGGCGAAGCCGAGCTGCATAGAGAAGACCAAGTAAGCCGAGAAGAGGAGATAAGTAGAGTCAACGGCATAGCCGGTAACGACGAAAGCATCGGAGACGTCGGAAAACTGCTGGCAGATGTAGGAAGCGGCGGCGGAGGCGTTCGTGGTGTTGGGTCCAAGAAGTGAAGCGAGTTGATCGGCGGCGCAGCTCAGGGACGCCATGGCTTGGTTTTGCAGCTGAGGCCGAAGCCTGTAATATAGTGTGTGGGGGAGTAGGCGGGCAGAGAATTCGCTACGGAATGGGACGTTGACTTTTCAAAGGTACCACAACCGTACAAGTCAGATTTCTTTGACCAGGATGCTTGACTTTTCGAGGTGTTTTATTTAGTTTAATACTCCATATACTAGTAGAATTGAATGTAGGAATAATACTCTCACTAAACTACATGTACAAATAAGATTATGTTTATGGCTGCAGTTTCAAGGCCCATATTTGGTTCAGATGGTTAACTATTATTTGATGGCAAGATATGTGTATTCCCTTTCACAACAAAACAGGCACCAAAGAGAAGAAGTAAGAATAGGCCAAAGGGAACTCTAGAGACAAAGGCAATCACTTCCATCACCAAACAAGTCACAAGGGATTAATTACCTACTTTACAAGATTCTACCCGCAATCAAAGAGAAATGGCCCGAAGGTACAAGTAAGACCATTTTAATTCAGCGAGATAATGCTAAACCTCACATTAATCCGGAAGATCCAGAATTGGTGAATGTTGCCACCAGTGATGGATGGGACATTCATCTCCTGTTACAAACTCCTAACAGTTTGGATCTAAACATTTTAAATTTGGATTTTTTAGATCTATCCAATCACTACAACAAGAATTTAAAATGAACAATGGATGACCTAATTACTGTTGTGGAAAAAGCATTTGAAAACCTAGAAGCTAATAAGCTTAATGATGTTTGGATTACCCTACAATATTAATGATGTTTGGATTACGTAATTACAGTAACAAGTATCGATTGCCACACATTTGAAAAGCAAAGCAAAGGAGGCAAGGAGAATTGATGCAAGAAGCCACAGTTGCACAACAACTAATCCATCAGGTTGTAAGCTATCTCAACTAGCTATTCTTCAGTCCACTTTTGGCTTTCTGGACTCCAACGAGGATAACAAGAGATCGGAATCAAGCTTTGGTCTCCTACTACAGCTCGAACATCAGCCCAATAATCAGCATCTGATTTGACTTTTTTTATATACTACAAGGGTCTATTTGACAGCTTTCCCAATATAGTACTACCTCCGTCCCGCTATGATTGTCCCATTTTACCTTATCGGTTCGTCCCAATAAGATTGTCACATACCAAATTTGGTAAAGTTTGTGTGTCTCTAAATTATTCTTACTTTATTCTTACTTTATCAATACAATATCAACTACATAAACCACCTTTTATTAATTTGTGTGTCACTCTCTTTTATCCCATTGTTAGCGGGACGAAAAGAGTATGAGACAATCATAGTGGGACGATCGAAATGATAAAACGGGATTATCATAGCGGGACGGAGGGAGTAATATATAATGGGATATTAAACATAGTTCATGTATATAATTCCAATCTATTAAAATGACACATGAATCTTAGTTCAACCTAATTGGCGGAGAAAACTAAAGTCGTACACTTTAAGTGGTGGAAGAAAAACGGTAAGCAAAAGTCGATAGGGAGAAGTTCATCTTGGGGTACCTTTACCTTTTCACATTTAAAAATTGTATTACTTCTTCATGCCCTCAAAGAAACTTTGAAAATTGAAATCAGCTTGAGGAAGTTTATTTTTACTTTTTAGTCTATTTATAAAAAAAAATCCTAAAAAATGCCCTCATCACCGGGTCCAGTCTTGTACTCAGCCCAGATAACTCAATGTCCCAAATCCTAACTACGGAGTAAAATACTTTTCACCTTGTCAACATTTTTAATTAGTAGGGAAGTTTAGAGTTTAACATTATTTCCCAAAATTAGAACCAAGTAGGCCGCGAACTGTATTGCTGGAGTTGGCGAGTCGATCGATTGAAGAAGAAGAACGACAGACGATGGACGACTAAGAGCACTGAAGCTATAGGGCAGACGGAAATTTGAGACCTAGACAACGGGAGAGAAACCGGAAGAGCTCCCAGAAGAGAGGCAAAAGACAAATAGTGTTGGGAAAATCGAAAAAATCGGCTCCTCTGCATTGCAAAAGTGCAGGTTCTTCTTGAAGCCAAAAGTGTAGATTTAGGATGTTTTTACTATAAACAGACCAGTATTTATAGAGCCGGTATTTATAGAAATCTCCACCACCCGACGGACCATTGAGCGCGCGACAGGTGGCGAGAAATACTGCTTTCAATTGACGCGAACTTGAAAATCATCATTGCATGTCATGTGATTGAAGGTCAACAAACTCCCTTGATAATCGTCGAGACTAGGACAGATTCGAGATTAAAATCTTGTTTTGTTTTTATTCAATGTTCCCAGCTCTATGATCTGCAAAGATGTGGAGGCGGTTTGCTGAACTCTCTGGGCGCTTTTCTACAACATTTAAACCTTCTCATCTCCAGGTTTTTACAATTCAATATCCGAAATCTCAATTCCCATATAATCTTTTTGACTTTTTTTCAGTCAAAGATGATTGATCTTTCTTGTGAATAGATCCGAGCAGCTAATGGGATAACTAATTGGCAAGAGTTTTGTTCAGATGCTCCCAAACAGGTAATTCCTCCACAAGTATATGTCATTAGTATAAAAGCGAGCACTTTATTCGAAAACCTAAACTCTGTGTTTTATGTTGTATAGGCAGTAGGTGGAACCTCTACTCGAAAAACGATCCCATTCATAGCTTTTATTCTAGGTAATTTACAGTTTAAACTGATGGTTTTGGGTGTTAGTTACTTCAACAAATAAGTGTAAAGTACTGTATTTCTTTACTTCGGGCTACTAGTTTGGTCATTCTGATTGCTCTTGTATTTGGCTTATTAGGATGGTCTAATATCATCTGACTTCTGAAAAGTGAAAACATCTGCTTTTAGAGCATTAAATCTCTCTTGAAGTCCTTATCTGTGTCCCATCCTTTCTATCTCAATCTGCCCTAAAACTTTTCCTTTTCTAGCAAATGTTGAACTTTATTATCTTCTAGCCTCTTAGCTGAGTTTCGTCTTTATCACCTACGGTAATTGCTCTATTATTTCCATTGGGGTGTGACAGTATGCACCACTCTTCGGTGATGTCTAGGGGTGAGGTAAGGTGGCTGAGCCTAGATTATTTACCAAAGCCCTGAGCGTTGGCCTGGACTATTTCTACTCTTACTCATGTTAAATAGATTTTTTTCCCTTCCACTAGTACCTACTAAGTTCCTTGTACTCCATATCATTTTTCTCTTCTTTTTGAGATATAAAAAGTAAATATTGTGAAAATTTATTTTGCATGTAAAGCTGTTGAGATCTTCTAGGTGCTAATGTGCTGATATTATTTTCTTTCAGGAGGACCCGGTAGTGGAAAAGGCACTCAATGCATGAAAATTGTTGACACCTATGGGTTCACACACATAAGTGCTGGGGAACTATTGAGGAAAGAAATGGATTCCAATAGTGAATACAGGTATGCAACAGTAAGACTTAAATATTGTAAGTACTGTTTCTATATCCTGTTTCAATACAAATTAACTCCCTTTCTGATTAAATATTATACAGCACTATGATTCGAAAGATTATGAATGAAGGAAGAATTGCTCCATCAACTCTGACTATCAAGTTACTTAAAAAAGCTATTGAATCAGGTGAAAATGATCGGTATCTCATAGATGGTTTTCCCAGAAGCGAAGAGAACCGCATAGCATACGAACAAAGTGTTAGTTTCTTTTTTCCTAATGAGATTCATATTGGCATCAATTTATTTTCTCTTATATTCCTTTTGTAAATAGATTACTAGTTGTATGGAGTATTTCATAACATTGATATTAATGTCCCTGTTAACTTCAAGTTTCTTTCTTCCAATTTTCCAGTTATGCTAAATCGAAATGAAAATAACATTCTTCTAATTTTGCAGATTGGACGTGAACCAAACTTTGTGCTTTTCTTTGATTGTCCTGAAGAAGTGATGATCAAAAGAGTACTAAACCGTAACGAGGTGTTCTCTCTATCTGTGTGGGCAAGTATTATTTCTTTTATACCATCCTTGTATTCAAAAAAGAAATATGAACGAAGGAATCATTTTTTTTCAGGGACGACTCGACGACAATGAAGATACCATAAGGGCACGTCTCAAGACTTTCAGAGCTGTTACTTTTCCTGTAATTGAGTACTATGCCAAAAAGGGAAAGCTTTACAAGGTAGTGAGTTTAAGAATAATGTATGATTGCATGTGTTCACGTCTAGTGCATGTCCTGTAATCCTGTTTTTTAGTTCTCACTTCAAAGACATGTTTGTGGATTAAGTTTTTTTTTACCCACAACTGTTTCATCCAGCTTGATGGTACTGGAACAGAAGATGAGATATTTGAACGAGTCCGTCCCATTTTTTCAGCATTTAGGTAAATAATACTCTATCCATCCTTAAATAACTTCATATTTTTCTTTTTGGCCTATCACAAACAGCCCCCACCATTTTATAAGAAGTCAATGAAAAAGAAATTTCTCTTAACATTTTTTAAATTGAGGCTATGTTTAGTCTTAGTTTGACATTTAACTAAATGTGTAAAATACTCTTTGATTTAGTAAACTAAGTTTGCTCTCTCTCCTATAATAAGTCACATTTATTAATCTCATTGATTGGATTGAGACAACTAATTTATCGTTAGGATTTATGTGTCTTCTAGATGTTATATTTCTATTCAATATTTTTCTCATATTATTTTTACTTTTACATATGTAAGCTGTGTAGAATTCTGTAGACTCGTACTTTAAAGGATATATATTTTTAAAATTTCTGGTCTCCCTAAGTGCTTTGTGCGCTATATGTTTGAGTCTCATATTTTTAATGATATCGGTTATGTAATTTCAATTTTCCCTACCACACTCCCATGAACTCATTTGAATGGAAAACACTGCAAAATGCAGCGGATTGAAATGGCATTTCCAACAAAACGCTGAACATCAAACTAAGCCTATATGTTTGAACATTTTTATAATCTGCATAAAGTTTCTTCATTCTTCGTCATTATCAATGATTGTAAATTTCTTGTACAAAAACTTATGGAGATTAATATTATACTAAATTTATTTGTCTAATAAATAAGATTATAATTTTTCAATGGGACTATTTTCCCCGCCTCAACAAAGAATGTCTGTTTCTTCCCCCAGTCCCTAAATAATCATATTTCCTATTTAGGAATGAAATGTGTGGTTGATGCATACTGGTACAGCAGAGACTCAGAGATTTTCGAAGGAGTCTGCCCCATTTCCCATCATTTAGGTAAATAAATACTTCATAATACAGAGTAAATATTACGGAGTACTGCTCATTATAGCATTGATGACATGTTTTCTAGTCATAGCTCATCACTCTTGCTAATTGCTTTACATTCTCACATATGGTCATATGGAGTAGTTAGCAAATGATTGTGGCTACTGGTTAGTGGTGTAGCAAGGTGTATATACTGGGCTGAGCTGGGCCGGGCCTGTAAAAAGATTTTTTCTGGATAAAAGTTTCTGGATTTTATAAATTTGGGGTTGACGGGGGCCTCAAGCCTCCGTCCATGAATGTCCAGTTTTAATGCCTTTTTATTTATTTCATTTCTTTTTGAAGGATGTTTTTTCATGATATTTTCTCCATCTTATCTATAACATTTAATCCATCTTCTTCGACATTTTTTCATGATATTTACTCCATCCTGTCTATTTTAAGGATGGTTTTTCATTCAATGGATTGCATGTTTATCATCATAAGTGGTAAATTAATTAATTCTTTTTTTGCTTTGCAGGTAAACCGGTAGAGCGTGATAAAGTGGGCATCTTCTTTTACAATAATAAACGATCCATGAGACCATGATCACATACAACTCTGTTTCTTTCCCTTTACTGCCTTTTCCTTTAATTTGGAGACGAGTAGGCGAGGGTTGGAACATTAGACTGTTCTATAAACACAATGGCTTTCACTCATCTTTATGTCCACGCCTTTTAAAATATCTGGATGCTTAATAGTTATGACTTATGACTGCTTCAAACTGCTTCTAGAGTGCCAATGGAGTATTGTAAAGGTGTCTCTTTTAAGCATTTGGAGATAAATTTAATGTAATAAAATAAGTTCAATTTCTCAGATGCCATTGTGTACTCTTCTCTAGCATTTGCCAGTCTGCACTGTGGATGGGAGTCATGGGACCTTATTGACGGTCTTCAGGAGTCAGGACTGGAGCTTATTCATATACCGGTCTTTTAACAATAATTTATTCTCCTTTCCTTAAAATTTTCTTCTGCTAAAATTTTGTTAAGTTTGACTAGGACAGAAATAATAAAGTAAAAATTATGTAGTTAAAGTTGACTAAATATTTACATCTACGGAGTAATTCTTTTTTAATATTTTACAGCTCCTCCAAGTGGGCCCTTGATGATAGAAACAGAAATATTTACATCTAAATTATGAGCCACATTTTTTTGAATATATATTATTTAGTATGATAATAAAGCAATTGATGTATTGTATAAAATCAAGGAAAAAATCCCATCAATAATCCAACCTATTCACGTTAGAGGTGGACTCGGGCCAGGTGGCCCGACCCGGAACCAGCCCAGTGGCCCGGCCAGGGACTGGTCCGGGTAGGCCCGGCCCGGTGGTTTTACGGTGCGGGCTCGGGTCCGCCAAATGATGAACCGGCCTGGCCGGGTCGGGCCCGGTTCCGGGCCTTTTTTCAATTTTTTTATTTTTCAGGGTTGGGCTGGTTGTTTTGGGCCATTTGGGGTGGTTTGGGGGGTGGGGGTGAGGGGGGGGGGGGGTATTAGGGGATTAATTAGAAAACTAAAAAAAATAGGAAGTGGCCCGAGGCTCAGCCCGGACCCGGTGGCTACCCGGGCCGGTCCCGGGCCCAACTATTCTGAACCGGTAGCCCGCTCGGGCCTAGGCCCGACCCGGACCCGGCCCGGCCTGAGTCCACCCATAATTCACGTTCTTCTAATATTAATCTCAAATATATGTAATCTCTACAAACTTATAAATGTGAACGATGGTTAGGGCTATTTAGGAATGTAAAATGTGTTGGTGTAACACAAGGCAATATTTAGTTGTACTCTATGCTATTTATGTTGTCCTTTAAAGTCAAAACCTTTGGTTTCTATGCTTTCCGTCTGATCTCCGTTAGGATCGTTACATCTCAATCATAATCATTAGCACACGTTTGAGAAAATATGTAAAACTGAAATCTATAATACATCATCACATGGACAAATAATGGCAGCCTGCCTGTATCTTCTAAAAATAATAAAGCAAACTGAAAGGTCGGTGACATTTTGGGATGTTGAAATCACAACTCCAACATTTATTGTTTTCATGGCTGACATTTTACTTTGTCAGCTTATATGCTTATATGCTTATTGCTTACTCCTAGAGTACATGATTGCTTATTATTGTTCTATGAATTGAATGAGCTGCTGCTTTTAATAAACAATGCAATTTATGGTCTTTAATCATCAAGTAGTACTCCGTATAATAATTTGAGTGAATTGAGCTTATTTTTTTGCTTGATGAATTGTTTATTTGGACATGTGATAAGTCCGTATTTAGACACGCATTTGATGCGTGTTGGGATTGGCTTTTGATGGTTTTCCTAGCTTTATGGTGTAACAAGTCTCAATTTTAGCTCAAGTTATGTTTACCTGGCGTTGGTTCGAGTTTTGTGTTGTTTGGAGTCAAAATCAGGAATTTAGAGTCCGACACCGTCGCTCGAGAAGCAATCGGGAAGAGTTGGAGAGCGTTCGAGAAAGATTTGAGAGTTTTGGATGCCACCGGGAGTTTACGACGAAGATTTTATTAAGAAAGGGCCTTTGGATCGATCAGGGACGAACGAGGAAGAAAATAGCAAGAAAACGGATCTAGAGTAGTCCGCGGGCCCCGCGTGTCGGTTCCGCGGGTCGGTTCCGTCTTCGTATAACCGAAGACGGAAAAGAGCTCTAAGGGCTGCGAAACCCTACAGAGAAGTCCAAAGTTGTTTTAAAGTAATTTTTGAAAAAGTCTTTAATGATAAAAATTTGTATTGTTTGAAAACAATACTTTTGAACAGATAAAGGTTGGTAGTGGTATGTGTAATAGAAAAAGTGCAAAACGGAAAAAGTGAAAAGTCATTTAAAGCCATAAGGTTCATTTTTAAATAACTTTTCATTTATGGCTTTAAATGAAAAGTCATTTAAAGCCATAAAGTTGAAAATCATTTTTTTTTTTAATTTTTGCAAACACTCCATAAGGTTCAATAACCTATATTTACGTTGCGCATAGTATCATTTCCTCTCATGTGTTTTCTAGCTAATAAGTACAAAAATCCAGTGACCATGCATATGTACACTCGATTAGCTTATCATGTACAAGAAAGTTCTAAATTTAAAATGTATTTTTAAAATTGTGAAGCTCATGAATTGTGATTTTATTGTATGTTTGTATTTAATTGGAAAAGAGAATTTTTATCGCAAGCACCTTAATGTATGTCATTTGTAAATTTGTTTACATGAGTGTTTTCTTGTTAATATGAAACCCTTTTCAATTCATAGTCTAATTTAGACTCTCGTGTATGTATTTGCTACTAACAAATGTGTTTTCTCATATTGAATTTATGTTTTACATCATTTTGAGTGAAGACTACAACTTTTAAAAATTGTGATTTTATTTAAATGATTTTGTTGTCATTAGCGAATTCTAAAGAAAATATTACATAAAACCATGATAGTAAGTCGTACAAATTATTATTATTATTGGGCATCTTTCTGTCGCGCAACGCGCCTAGCACAACTAGTTCTAATATAATCTCAAATTTGTATGTGGTCTTCTGCCATTGATCTATGTCACCTATAACCTTCTAAACCCGAAAAAACATAACAAAAAAGAGAAAAAGGAAAAAGATCGATATGCGTCTAGAGTCTAGATCCACTCCATCCTCAACGTCATCTTCACTCTTCATCTATGGAAAAGACATGGAAGAAGTGTTCATCTTCCTCTACCCAATTCATCTTTGACCGTAATAGGAGTTCAATCCACACAGAAAGGAAGGTGTTTCTGACACTTTCATCTCCCTCTTGAATCAATTCCAATCGCCGGCTAAAAGGAAGGTGGCAGCGGAAAAGGCGGTGGGCACCTTCACTGCTTCAAGTCATCTCTCATGTCAAAGATGGGACAAAGGAGCGCACCCTGCTTCTTCTGGTGTAGACAAATATGGCGACGAAGGAGGGCATATCATTTTGTTTCTAATTGAACGATCAAATGGAGGTCCTGAGGTCCTCCCCGGAATAGCGATGAAGGAGAGCATCTGATTCTTCTTCTGTCCATCCCTTTAGTTGGATGACTGGAGTTGTAAAAGAAATTAAGAAGAATGGAATCGACAGAAGAGGAGGTTCAATGAAAGAGAAGAAGAGTACAAGAGAAATGAAAGAGAAGAAGAGTACAAGAGAAATGAAGGAAGAGAGGTCTGAGCGGAAGAGGAGAAGTAAAAAAAAGGGGAAAAATGGAAAAGTAAAAATGTGTGAAGTCCAATCAGAGTAAAACACGTGTTAGGTGACCTGATGAATCCTTTCATTCCAGTCATGGGCTTAATTTGAGAAGATGCCATGTATAAATTAGATTATTTTAGAAATACACATATTTGGGATTAATGTTGGAAGAACCGAAAAAGATGGGATTATTCATGTGAATTTTTTCTAAAATCAAAAGAATATTTGGATCTAATTCCGTGTACGGATATCCTCCCTTAGTGTAAGCTCATATCGGATTGAAGATTACAAATTTACAATGCCTCCCTAATGTCGAGTATTTTTCTTATGAAATTGGAGCACAACAATGAAGAAGCAAGAAGAAGTGGGGAGAGGTGGACATCAAACTTTGAAAACTCGAAAGGAGTCGACCACAGTATGCAGTCTATCTTTCATCTTCTGCCATCTCCTTTCATTAGCCCCAGTGGTCATGGTGTAAAACTTTCCTGCAATATTAATTCCGTTTTCAGCGGACAAAGCACAGAAGACCCAAAAGTATCTCGTAATTCTTTTTAAGCTGACATTTTAGGCAAATAATAGGTAACGGTGTTGGACTGTTCGCCTACCCTATCTTTCTTCTTATTGCATATTCTTGTTTGAATCATATTAAAAACCACCCAGATTTTCAGATTAGATCATTAGACCAGACCAGAAAGATGTAGACCAGATCGTCAAAAACTCAGTTATTACGTTACCATTGCCAATGCAAACTGAAGCGAGCGCATGACGTGTGAAGTTTGGTGCTTGCGTAATAAACTCAAAGGTGTAGTAGGTTTTCCCCTCTGCATCATGCTGTAATATAAACAAAAAATAAAATCATTAGCAAGGTCACAGACTTTGACAAATTGTGGCATTCATGCCAAGAAATGCATCTTCAATGCAATAATACATATATATATATATATATATATATATATATATATATATATATATATATATATGAAAATATTGCATATAAAGATGGTCGAATATACAACCTCTGTGGCCTCGATGAGTTTTGACTTCTGAGAAGATGAAACCAGAGCCTTCTTCAATAAATTTTCAGCTACCTATAACATTGTATTTATTAAAAAATCTTAGCAAGACCACATGCTGAGGGTTCTCCATCATAAAAAACTCCTCCTCACCTCTTGCGCGGAACCAAAGTCTCGAATATCTTGTTTAGTAGTGGGGATCACATTCACACTCACATTTTCTAGTGGTTCAATGACATCTTTGAAAACTTTGTCCTGTCCTTCAACAACCACCTCCTGATTGAAAAGAAATATAACTAAACATGTAATTACACAGGAAAATTGATAGGAACATTTCTGCATTTGGAGTTTGGACCCACTTTTTCATACAAATGTGAGTTCACAATTTTACTCCCCATTTTTAAAGAACTATAATATTTGCCCTTCAAGTTTGAGAATTTCACCACTTTTTATTCTTAGACTTTTTTATGTTTGGGGGAGAATATTAATGATTTCAAAAGTGAAGTGAAAAACTCAAATCTGGATGAAAAGTTGGAGATCAAACTCCAGTTCCCCTCTAAAGAATGTAAGGAAATACTGGCTACAAGACTGCGGTAGTTAAAGAAGTTTGTGCGTGCAAAGTAACACTGAAAATGTTGTAAAAGTATAAGAAGTAGGTCAGTGATAACCTGCCAACCAAAAGGATAGAGGAAAGAGTAGCCATCGTTCTTGTCAGTTACAGCCAGAAACCCCTTCTTAGTTTCTGCAGCAACTGAGCCATATCAAAGATGCAACTCTCAGGATATCAGGCCATTATAATGCATGAATCAACTTAAAGTAATGAGGGTTTATACACTTCAAGAACCTCTGTGCATGTTTAGATTGTACACCAAATGTCGTGTTTGACATATCATACATCTTTGTTTGGTTTGTAGAGAATTTTTTAATGAGTATGATCTAATGAACTAGTTTTTCATTTAATCAACTTCATTTCAACTGTCTCATTCTGTCAATGTCCTGCTTTTGCTGAATTCCAATGATAATTTTTTATTATTATCTATTTATATACTCCCTCTGTCATTTTATCTTATCTTTGATCCAAAAGGCCTTTTACTTTTTACTGAGATTAAAAGCAGGACATTGACAGAATGAGATAAGTGGATATAAATAGATAATAAATTTTTACAGTTAAAAATTTTTAATTGGATAGAAAAATGAGATAAAGCTAAGGTAAAAGTTGCTAAGGTAAAGAACTTGACAGAGGACATAGATAAAGCTAAGGTAAAAGTTGCTAAAAATGAAAATGAAACAAATGATAAAGAACTTCGATAAAAGAACACAGAACAAATAATAAAAACAGAGACCTTTAAGGTCTTTTAACATTTTTCACCAATCATTTCATCTGATTTTGTCAATTCTTTTCACCAAAGGTTGTTAATTCATTTCATTCTATCCTCATTTCATCTTTATTTGTAATTATACTTTCATCTTTCATCTGACATTTTCATAGAGTTATAAATTGTGGGTAAGCACTAAACAAACACTTTTTATCTAAAGAAAATGACAAAAATAAAGGAAAAATCCTAAAATAATGGGTAGCTATACAGGAGAAGGAATGAGTAGAAAATGAAGGCCGTGAAATTTTGAAAGTACAAGTCCAAAAACATGAAAAAAGGTAGACTGTACATGATGTTTTATTTTGCATAGAAATCAACAAGGGGCAAACCAATGCTCCCAGGGCAAGTAGTTTACGCCTTTGAGGTTGATCTGTAAATAAAGAATGATGAGACTTAATTAGTTACTCGTATTTATTGTTAATAACAACTTAAGGGGAAGCAGTCAGAGAGAGAGAGAGAGAGAGAGAGAGCAGGGAAGTTTTTCCCTATTGGCTCGCAACAATAATATAAAAGAAAATATGCCACATTAGCATGATCTGGACATTACCAGTTATAATACTCCATCCTCCGTCCCGAAAAAGAGTCATGTTTGGTTATATTCAACTTTCTAATCTTGTGAAGGTACAATTCTTAGAAGTAGTGGAATCATAATAATACTTTTAAAGTTTATTTGTTGGGTATTACAAAACATACCATAATTAACTTGTCTGTAAATTTGATCTGAAATTACATGATAAGCTCTCTTTGTTTGAAGCAAATGACTATCTCAGATATCTTATTTCTCACTCTGCAAACGTTGTCAAGCACTTGTGTTCATACAAATCCAGCTGTATCGCTACCAAAATTGCAACCTATATAAGAAACATACAATGCAAAAATACCCCATTCCACTCATTTGTTCTGTACCATTCATATCTCAGCTCAACAATGAAGTTATTTGGAAATATTTAAAACATTCAATTCCCCTAGAGTTGTTCATTTGGTTGTATGTATTGTCAAAAGGGAATGAAACCTCCTGAATACATTGTTAGTTTATGTAAATTAAAAAGATATTTTCTTGAACCGAAAGTGTGTGTGTGTGTGTGATTTCACTAACAAATAACACACATATGTGAAGTTTGGTATTGCATATATGGTTGTTAGAGAGTACTGAATGTAAAGTAAGGTCCCACCTGGCGAGGAAGAAGCTAAAGTTGTCGGTACTTGCTCTGATTTGACAAGGAATGAAGCACGCGTAGGATTATGGACACTTGTTGATATTCCTAGCTGGTTCATTCATTTATACATGAAAGATATATTGAGATCCTATACAGTTTGAGTAAACCAAAAACAAGGAGACAAGGAGGACAAGAACCTGAGGTGCTGCACATGGAAAACATGAATGATGGATTGTTTGAAACTTTTGCAAAGAGATCATTTTCTGCAGTCTTTCAGAATCAAGAATATACTCAGCGGTCAAGACCTTAAATAGTCAATTAAGCAAAAATTGGATTATGGATCATTTATTTATTTATGAGGTTTTCCTAAAATATTAGTACATTATTGAATCATTTGTGTGACTAACATTCATTTACATTCATTCCCAAACAATTCTTCCCCCTTACCTTTTTGGAGCGTCCCAAAAATTCTTCGTGCTTCCCTTTATGGAATCATTTGTGTGACTAACATTCATTTACCTTTTCTTACTCAACCACAATCATATATTTCTACGTTATTCTCACTTTCTTAATTAGCGTGCCAAATCAAACTGGGAAGAACTTTTTGGGACGGAGGGAGTACTAAGGTTAGGCTTATTTAACATAAATATGATTATCACCATAGTCACTCTCATAAATACCATAATCACCACAACTTAGAACTAAACATTACCATGGTCACTAAAGTTAATGTGAAAATCCAATTATAATCATTGAACAACATAAGCCAGATTCTTATACATTACTTTTATTTTAATAAGGCACATTTCTATACATTACTTTATTTTAACTTAACAATACATTTCAATATGTATCAATATTTATTAATTCATTAGTGAGCATACTAATGTTGGTGCAAATATGCCATGATGAAATGATTTTTTATAAGAGCTATTCCAGGTGCTCTCACTAATTAGTGAACTAATCTTAGAGGGTGTTAATAGTGTACAAAATAATTACCTTGCATGTGAAATGTAAAAAGGTTGTGATGTTTTAATGTAAATTGTAGGACATTTTGTAAACATTTTGTACAGTAGCATGTTTTTTACCGAGAGGGTGGTAAAATACTTCAATGTTTTGTATAAAGCACAACAATTTCACATGTAATTTAAAAAATCTAGCCAAATAATGTAGTTTTACTTTACACATAAGTAATTGTTTTCTTAAACCTTACAATTGCAATTGCTTACCATTTTAGGTGTAAAATTTGAAGGTCCAAACTACCAAACTAGTCCTTAGTGTTTCCATCACTACTGGCAATTTGATAATTCTTAGAAACATAATCGGATTATAACATTCGCATCACCACACTATCCACATTCCTTAGTCTACAAGAATAAAAATTAGACACTAAAAACAGGAATGTACCTAGCGAAACTGCTTGAATTGAAATGGAGGGAAGGTAATTGGACACGGCGGATGAGCTGCACGGCGGCTCGGACAGGCGGTGCCTTTGTGGGCCGTGCCGCTGAGGCTGCAGTGACGTAGCGGAACTAGTGGGAGAATTCCAACGATAACCGCCGGTTGTAGGTGTTACGGCTTATCTAGTTATCTCAGAGATAGCAAACAAGAGGCTACAATTATTAAACCATTTGCTACAAAGGATTTTCTTCATATTTTGGTCTTAGGATATGATCTTTTTTCTAATTCTAATCTTCAATTTATTTAGGCTATGTTTGGCGGACATAAGTTCTTACCTTCTAGCTTTAGTACTATTTAAAAAGTCTTTAAAACTTTCTAGTTGTATGTTTGGCACGTCAATTTTTAAGAGCTTTTATAAAATTAAAAATCCTTTTTGAGATGCTACAGTGAGTAGCATCTCAGATAAGTCCGTAGCTTTTAACATTAATTAGTTCTAACAGCTAGTATACCAAACGGAGCTAAATCAAACAGTCAGCTTTTTACCAAACAGCTACTGCCTTTTCTTTTTAAGATCTTTTCAATCACTAAAAGCTAACAGTTAATAAAAAGCTCATAAAAGTATCTTTTCAGCTAATTGTGTCAAACATACCCTACTCCATTCTTGTTAAAGTTAGCCACGTATGTAAAAACTAGATTCGCACCTGTTGCGTGGGATATTAATATGTAACAGTGATATGATATTTTTTGTAAATATTACTTGGTCATGTGAAATGAATGCAAATTGTCATAGACGTAACATGCATAATAAATTATAAGTAAAGCTCGGACAGTGAAAACTCAGAGATAGATAGTAAAATTATTTTGGAATAAGTAGAAATAACAAAATGTTATAAAACAGCATGTTTCAGTATCTTCACCTCAGATCAATCTCCAGTGCGATAACTTACACATTGCGAAAAACTTTCTTATAAACTACATTGGTGGTATGATCAGTTGGTTGGCCATCTTCATCGCAGATCAATATCTTCAAACCCTTAGGATTTGTTACTCTTGACACTGCAACATACAGTTGATAATGCGTGAAGATCGACTTTTTAAATAAGTGTCCAACGTGAGACAAAGATTGTCTTTGACCCTTATTTATGAGTGATTCACTGATAATTGGAATTATTATCAATATCAATTTTTTCTATCTGTACATTATAACAAACTAAATAATTACAAACAAATTACTTTCCTAAAATTAGACTCCGTAATACCCATTTCCAATTATAACAAGTTTTCCTGTCAATTTTTAAATATTTTTTTAAGAGAATAGTAATACCCATTTCAACGGCCTACGACCCATTTTAGCCCAACATCAACAAAAACCTAAAAACGTCCAATATAAGGTTCCATTTTCCATTGCCGTACAACTCATATGCAGACCATCGGCACATCCGATCGGTTCATCTGATGCCTCTCATACTGTTGAGTGTTGATCGCGGTTTATTGTTTATAGAATCAATGTGATTTTGTTGTGACTTGTGAGATGCCATTTTATCCGAGTGTTTGAATCTATACGATGGATGGGGATACCGAAGAACCTCAAACCATTTGGAGTACGTATTCAATTTTCAAGATACGTAAAGTTCTTGTCTTCCACACCCCCAGGCGCCGACAACACACCTCCCCACCTGAATCTCAGAAAACCGACGGCAGTCTACTTCAGCTGGGAAAGTGTTTTGTATTGCCTATCCGAACACCGGCCTCGACTGACCTTCTAAACTCGAAACTCGCAGCCGCCATACAGTAACACCAACCCCATCTGTAAACAGTCTCCACCACCGAACATCACATTGCCGCATGCCTGCAAACAAATTCAATACTTGACAAAGCTACCCCACAAAAAAGAAATGGATGACAACACAGACTCAGACGAACAATGAAGGTCATTGAAAGATTTCACTTGAAGTCTCCATATCAGTAAGTGCATGCCTATATATCGTGAATATTGTGTTAGATTTGATCTGTAAAATCTTAAAATCAATCTAGTGACAACTAATAAATTAACCTGATCGATTTTCCCTTCCTACCGTCAATTTATTTGGTATGTAACTACTTTCGTGAGTTGAAAAAATAAAATGTTACTTTTTTGTGTTTCAACTAAAATAGTTCAATTGATAAAACAAATAGCAAATTGAAAATCCGATGCTCCTTAGGAAACCAAAACTACATATGCTTTTGGGAAAAAATACATTTAAGATCCTTCAGGTCAAATTAGTTCTTATTTATTGTAGAGCATGATACACATTTTTGGGGGAAATCAAAAGCCACCTCAAAAATTCCAAAAAGGCAGACACATTTTCCCAATATAATGTATACTTGTATTAAATCCGAACACCCTAAAGGCACGTGCGGTGCACCTTCCCGTATGTGCATTGCACGACCGATATAGTTAATTATGTATTAATCTAAACAATAATGTTTATACAAAAAGGGATGGATGAATACTTCGTAGTAAAAACAAAGTAGTAATATGTAAGGAAATTAACAACATAAAATGATAACAATTGCTATAATTGATCATGTACTTAACGTCTTATACTCATTATTAAGAGATTTAACAATTTGAAAAACAAAATTGATAATATTGTGGATTGCATCACATAAAACAATTACAAACTTTTTTGAGATTTAAAAACAGAATTGAATATTTCATACATTGAAGCTAGTCATTAGAAGGGTTTGATCAAGCGCAATACAAATAAATTTTCACCAATAAATTAAAATTAACACTTTTTTGGAATCAATATCATTAGAATTCGATGCATCAAAATTTAGGCTTATTTTATTTATATCATTAAAAAGTATCACTAAATGTTCTTATAGAGAGCTACATCCCAACTCATAATATAAGACACATTTAACAAATTCAATAAATTGAAAAAGAAAAATGAATAAAATTGGTCGGTGGATAAGGTTTGGTTACTCGATCTATCCATTCATCTTCCATAGGCTTAACTCATCTTATTCAGCCTTCAACAGTTCAACACATGTTCGACCACATCTCCTTCAATTCAGGACTTCACTAATTCTTCATTAATGGTATATGTTCCTCTTTCCACATAGCAGGTGTGGAGGTCTCCATTGTTCTAAACATTAAGAAGTATTTATAGACTGCTTGGGTCTTGAATACGGAGTACTTCGTATAATATTGATGAAATTGGAATTCTAAGAGCCATACTCGAACATTAAATACTCCGTATGACCGATCTAGTCCCATAGTCCCTATGTACAGTACATTCTTTTAGGTCTAGAGAATCCCAAGCATCATATTAAAGCAACGAATGTGCCTTTTTATTATTTGAGATGCATCGGAATTGCTAAACACCTTCTAGTGTTTTAGAAGGCAATTTATTAATTAATTAATCTTTGCTGGCAACATTTTAATAATAAAGGCTACACAGGGAATTTCAAAAGACAAATACGAAGTAGTTGGTAGCAAACCTGTATTTGCATCTGAATTCCAAAGGTGACTTCGAGCATTGCATGCATTTATTGCTAATCAATATTTGAAGCTTTAAGCTCTTAGTATGTTGTGCAAGTTTTCTTAGTATTGTTGCGTTTTGTTGCACACTATCCCGCTCAAAATCCCGCCCAAACTCCCCCCACACTTTTGCGTTTATATATATATATATATATATATATATATATATATATATATATATATATATATATATATATATATATATATATATATATATATATATATATATATATATATATATATATATATATATATATTTCCTTTTAATCTATCCATGAGATATTGAAAAGACATTCAAGGATTTTGTAGTACAACCTAATTAATTGGATATGACACAGACCCATTTTTTAAATTAAAGTTGATTCTCTTTAACATAGTGATTCATGCAGCCAACATTAGATGTCCTTTTTATTGGGGGAATTCCAACGATAACCGCCAGTTGTAGGTATACGGCTTATGTAGTTATCTCAGAGATAGCAAACAAGAGGCTACAATTATTAAACCATTTGCAACAAAGGATTTTCTTCATATTTTGGTCTTGCGATATGATCTTTTTTCTAATTATAACCTTCAATTTATTTACTCCATTCTTGTTAAAGTTAACGGCGTATGTAAAAATACGGGGTAATTACTTTGGAAGCATCAGAAGTTTTTTGAATTGCTTTTGCTTGAAAAAAGATCATTCTCTCTGTTCTAAAAATCGTTCTAGGCGTCGTCCGACTAGTCCTCGCCTAGACGCTAGGCGGTGGTCGGGCGCCCCGATTCTTGTCTAGCCGTTCCGACTAATTGATTTGCCGTTAGACCTGTCAACGGGTCGGGTACGGGCTGGAACATAGTATCCCAAACCCGGACCCGTTAGCCTCTATAGGGTTCCAGACTCAACCCATATACTCGGCAGGTCTAGAACTAATGTTCCGGACCCATACCCATTGGGTCTCAGAACCGGGTCGGGTAGACCCGACCCGTCTCATGAAAATCCAATTCTAATTTCTTAAATAAAAAACAAGGCCTCTTACTACAGAGTACTTTTCTGGCAACAATATGACACATGAACTGTAATTACTCAACCAAACGCAACAATTGTGAGTTGGTATATAATTTGCAAGATACGTCATGTTAGAATAAAAAGTAAAATTAATGGCTTTGGAAACTGAACAAGCTTTTTCCTGAATCCTCTCCGGTCTGCGGACTCTAAGGTCTCTAGGGATCCTTCTTCAGAATTATTAAACTAAATCGTAATGTGGACGGTAGCTAATGTAATATGTATATTAGACTAATGTGTGTGTGTGTAGATAAGAGATCAAATACAAACCATGCTTAAAATACTAACCTACAAACTCAATAATATGCATCACTTTGAACTTCAATGTGCAGTAAAAATAATGTAAAGATGCAGGGGTGGGATCACATGCAAACTAGTCCTCCCATTCAAATCATCTTTACATTATTTGTATTGCACATTGGATTTCAAAGTGTTTCATATTATTCAAGTCATAAAATAGCAGTTTCATATTTACATTATTTGTATTGCATATTGAAATTTAAAGAGTGCATCTTTACATTATTTGTACTGCATATTGAAGTTCAAAGTGTTGCATATTATTGAGTTTGTAGGTTAGTAAGTTAAGCATAGTTTGTATGTGATCTCACCCATATATATATATATATATATATATATATATATATATATATATATATGTGTGTGTGTGTGTGTGTGTGTGTGTGTGTGTGTGTGTGTGTGTGTGTGTG